CTGTGATTGAGCTGTCTTACTGGTTCCTCTAGTGATTCAGTAAACATGGGGTGGACCTGCACCACAGCGCCGAGGGCAGCAGGACACCCTGGCACTGCGTCTGCTAACCCAGCGCTGCCTTTGGGCATCACCTCCCCACCTGAGCACCTGCACTGGGGGCTGTGTGACCACCCTGAGTGTGCAGCGCCATCCCCTGAGGACAGCCAGCAGCACTCCAGGGAATGTGAGTGACTCCTGCAGCAGTCTGGCAGGATTCACGCTCATGAACCATGCTCAGCCTGCTATAATCCCTCACTGAACAACTAGGCACAAACTGAATTACCTCACTGTGGCCAGAACAAAATAAAAAGGCACAGAATTTCTTTGTCGTCAATACTTCACTTGGAAGGGGAAAGAGCTGCTTAGACAAATTACTGATCCACTCAGAATTTCAGATGTACAACAGATCTTTAAAGAAATGTGCATGCAATAAAAAGGCATGAGTGATATTTTTCTTTGCTAGCTATACAGGAAATTATTTGGTTTTATCCAAGCAAGACCAAATATGGTCTCTACATATAATAAATCCATTCTTACAGAACTGATGGATACTTTCAACAGGCTGCAAGGTCCACTGTTTTCATAGTCTGTGTGTATTGTGGACTGCAGATAAATAAAAGATGCCCTAAGGATTTTGCATACTAAGTGAATATACCAAGTATTGCCAAGTTCCTTTATTTTCTCACAAGCACAGGGATACTGTTTTCCTTCAAGGTGCAGTTCTTGAAGTCTTGCAGTCTTGGTGAGAATTCAGCTTTTGTTTAAGAAATGAGTTTCAGTTCTCACAGTTATATTAAAAGATATCAAAACCCCATATCTGACCCCAAATGCACTCTCATAGTTCAAAAGCTGAAGGCAAAAACACTGGATTTTACAATAAGCCAAATGTCCCAATTTTCACATCATTACCGCAGTTCCCAAATGGTTTAGCTCTACATGAGGTGCTGACCTCAGAGCAAAACTACACTCTGCATGTGTGTGACTGGTGTGGGAAACCCACTACAGGGCCAGGTCACAAAAGATCCTAAACATAATTAGAGAAACAGCTGGAGATTTGAAAGGAGGAAGGGATTTGGCATTCTGTTTACAGAAAACCAGGTGTGGGACCCACTTCCAGTGAGTCAGAGATGGAGCATGGCTGATGGCAGAGGCTGGACCCACCTCACAGCCGTGTGGCAGCAGCTGGTTTGGGTTCACCCCAGCCAGAACCCACAAGTTGGGCTGCTTGGCTGAGCATGCAGCTCACACAGGACAGGCTGGGCTCCTCATCTGCAGCTCTGTCTGAGCTGGAAACTGCCAGAACTTTCTTTGTCTGAGGGGAATAATTTCTGGGTGCAATTATCTGCAGGAGCAGGACAAGGAGCAGACAGATTTCTGGATGGTTCTTCCATGCAAACATTCTGCTAATGTTTTACTACCAGCACTGCTGGATATGTTACTTGACTGGAGAGATAAAAAGACACAGGCATTTTCCTTTTTTTTTTCTTTTGTATTCCCCTCCCCCATTTCCTATTTTTCTAGGATGTGGAAGCTGCTCTCAACATTGTCCCAAAAAAAAAAAAATAATCGTGACACTGGATAAGATCTCAGAAGTGATATATATATATTTCAGGATATTTTGCTTGCCTTCTGACTCATAAGGGTTGGTAACATAATTTTTAAACAAAAGCTGAGGTTGTCATGGTATTCCATATTGTTGTGAAAAGGAGGAAAAAAGGCAACAAACACCAAGAAGCAAGAGATGACACAATACCATGCTGGGAAAGAGTGCATATTGCATTTTCTCACCCTTAAAGCTGCTCACCAAATTCCTTCCAGTTCTTGCTGACCAAGACCTCCTGAAAACTACTTCTCATCAGGCAGTTTCTGACATCTTAATTTCTGGAGCATTTCAGTATCTCCACCACACCTATTTTTAAACATGTCCTTCACCAAGTGAAGTGAAGGTACTTTTTGGGCACATTTTCCACATTCATGGCAGATTTTCATGAGAACATTTTGCTATCAGAAGGGGTGTAGCACTTCCACTCCTACTGATATGGCTTTTGCACATGTTGTGAGTGCAAAGTAATACAAAATCCATAATGACTTTGGAAGGTAATTTTGCCTTATTCTTTATTCAATCATGAAGGATATTACATTTTTTAAAAATATGATTCACTACTTAATTTACAAAAAAAATTAGTAGAATGTTTATATAAAAGAACTATCCATACAATCTGTCTGGTCCTTGTCCTGCTCCTGCAGATAGTTACACCCAGAATGTATTCTCCTTAAAGAAAGAAAGTCCTGGCTGTTTCCAGCTCAGAGTTGCAGATGAGGAGGACTGCTTTGGCAGTCTTACCATAACCCTCTCCCTGCAGCTGCACCTCACCAGGAGCCAGCTCTCTTCCCTGGGTTCATCACAGCATGGCCAGGTCTCTCTGCTTCCCATGGTGTTTGTCTGTCCATCCCCACCCTGCTGCAGGTCTGTCCATCCCCACCGCAGCTGAGTGGGTACAGAGAGCCCGGCTCAGCCCCTGCCAGCAGCACCAGCACAGCTCTGCAGACCCTGTAACGCTGGATTTCTTGTCCATTACCAGTCTGAGGGATGCCAGGCTGTGTTTGGATTGCATCCTTTCCTCGTGTATGGACAACATGGAAAGGTGACTCAAGGGATAGGGGTGGAAGCTGAGAACCTGCTGAAGGGTGAGCATTTGCATCTGCTCTTTGCTGCCAAAAATAGCAGCAAACCTGAGCTGAAGTGAACAAGAGCAGGAGGAGATGGCATGAAAGGAGCCAGTGGACCCATTTAGGGGTTATCCTGTCTTTGGGCATTTGTTCAGTACTGGAGTGGCCAGAAAGGAATATGATTCCATCCCAAGGAGGCAAGGGAAACCTACAGGTCTGTCTTGGTAAAAAACACTATGTCTGAACTTCAGCGTGCTCCCCAGAATACCAGCAGCTCCTCCCAGCAGTGCAGTGTTTTCAGGCACGTTGATCTGTGGAAAATGTGGGTAGACAGGTATGTATGCTGGCAGGTAGCAGATCATTTGTAAGGGGCTTTTATCACTTCACATGCATGAGTGTAGCCATGATATTTTCTGAAAAATCCTTTTGCCAGGATTTTCTCCTGAGGAGCCTCAGGAAAGAAATGTAAACAATAACTCTCTGCTGCTGTGGAATGCAACAGGTGCAGCTGTGATTGGTGCACGTTGGTTGTTTCTAATTAATGGCCAGTCACAGTCAGCTGGCTCGGACTCTCGGAGAGTCACCAGCTTTTGTTATCATTCCTCTCCTGTTCTTTCTAGCCTTCTGATGGATCCATTTCTCTCTATTCTTTTTAGTATAGTTTTAATATAGCATTTTAATATAATATTATAAATAATAATAAGATAATAAATATAACAAATCAGCCTTCTGAAACATGAGTCAAGATTCTCATCTCTTCCTCATCCTGGCACCTTCGAACACCACCATAGCACGAGTACAACTGTTAAACTGTGGCACCCAGCAGTACCAGACTCAAAAGTCTTCCCCTGCAGACCCTTCCCCATGCCCAGGGCCTCCTCTGGGCCCTCTCCGATGGCTTCGTGTCTTTCTCATGCTCTGAGCCCAAAGTGCCCCGGCACTGAAGGCGAGGCCGCCCCAGCCCAGCCCAGAGCAGAACAATCCCCCCGGCCCGGCAGGGCTGGGCCTGCTGCCCCAGGACAGGGATGTCCCTGCTGGCTGCCAGGCCGCCGCTGGCTCGGCTCCAGCTGCCGCTGCCAGGAGCCCCAGGTCCCTCCTGCAGCTGCTCTGCAGCCTCTCCTCCCCAGTGCCCCCACAGCCGGGGCTGCCCCGTGCCAGGGCAGAACCCAGCCCTTGCCTGAGCTGAGCTCGCCGTGGCTGGGACCGCCCTTCTCTCCCCTTGGCTGGGTCTCTCTGCAGGGCCCCTCTGCCCTCAAAGGAGTCAGCAGCCCTCCTGATTCAGTGCCATCAGCAAATTTCCTGAGGGCTCCTTGGAGTCCTGGGTCCACACCATCAGTGTGGTGCTGAGCACAGGGCTGAGGGTGGAGCCCTGCAGAGCCCCCCTGGTGACAGCCCCAGTCTGATGCCACCCCAGCCATGCCACCCTCTGTGCCCAACCCCTGAGCCAGCTGCTCACCCATCATGTAACACATGCTGGCCCCACACAAAAAAAGAGCACCTGGTGGTTTCCAGCACTCCTTCTCTATACCCAGCACTGCTTCAGCTCACATCATCTCAACTGTCTCATATTGTCCAATATTTTAGCCATGCCACATTATAACTTAAAATTTCATGGCCAATCACTAAGCAGCACAGGTATTGCAAGTACAAAATGCTTTATGGATTTTTACTATTTCAGACTTTGAGATTACTTTTTCAAGCACAATCTTAAATCCATCCTTGGTGGCAAGCACACCTTCTGGGCCCATTGTTACAGATAATGCTACTCTTTTCTATTTTCACCTCCCAAACTCCCTGGAAAGGGGCCTTAACTTGTTCAAATTCCTCTTAGGAGTGGATGAAAAGTCTTCAGTACAAAGTCACTTCTAACACCTTGGGCATGGCAGGTGAGAGTTATGCAAGCTGAGGAAGTTGATGCCAGAAAACTCACGGATCCTCAGCAGCAGAGCTGGGCACACACTTACCATCTTTGATTGCTGGTCAATGGCAACACTTCTGCCAGGGCATAACCAGAAGCAGTGCAGTCATACAAAATCTGAAAGGGGAGCACGGGGGTGGCACGGCTGAGTTTTGCATTTGAGCGGGGGCTCTGGGCTTGTTTACCTTGTTTGGAATAAATAAAAGCCAGCTATTGCCTTTCTTTGCCCTGACTGCTGACGTGTTGTCCTTTGCAGGTAACATCATAGGCTCTGGGATCTTTATTTCCCCGAAGGGAGTCCTGGAGCACGCGGGCTCGGTGGGCCTGGCTCTCATCATCTGGGTGCTCGGTGGAGGTGTGGCTGCCCTGGGCTCGCTGTGCTACGCTGAGCTGGGGGTCACCATCCCCAAGTCGGGAGGGGATTATTCCTATGTCACAGAGATTTTTGGTGGGTTAGCTGGGTAAGTACCCTATCTCTATGAACTCATTTGAAAGCACGTTTCTATCGTGTGTTTGGTGCGCGGGAAAGCCATCGGACTTGGAAGAGACAACATTTGTCAATAAAAATGCTTCAGCAAAATCAATCTTTCTGTTCTCTGTTAGAAATACCAAATTGTCCCTACACAGGCCTCCCAGTGCTGTTTTTCAAGAGAAGGTGACAGATCTTTCACTTCCCTCACTGCCTCAAAGTCCATGGCAGAAGAGGGTGATGCTGTGTCCAACGATCTTCCCGTGTGCAAGCCATGAATGGTCAGTGCCTGGTGCTGAAGAGCTTCCCCCATCCCAGGCCAGGCTGGAGCTGCTCCCCACAAATAAAGCAAAGCTGCTTGACTTGCTGTCCAGAATAACCAAGAGCTGTAAATACAGCGAGGGAGGAATGCTAACTCAGGGAAGGATTTCTCTTTGAAAATAGTACTGATGGAGTAGTGTGGCCAGGTGAGGAAGGGACAAGTGAGAGGAGGTTATCTGTTTTATTTGGGTGTACACTTTTTGATGTATTCCACACAATAAATTAAGCTGTCAGCCTGTACTCACAGACTACTAGAGAAGCACCAGAATGTTCTGAGCAGCTCTCTCATTGTGAGTGGAGAGGCCATACCACATGCTGGTGGTTTAGTTAAGATAAATAAGCACCAGTACAGAAAATAGAGAAAGAGTAAGGAAAAAAACCCCACCAAACCAGAGAATTCCTTCTCATGTGAGATGGAAAATGAGCTTTTAAAAGTTTTGCTGGCTGCTGAGCAAGGACAAATCAGAACAGGCATAACACAGGCAGTCTGTCACCCTGTGCCAAAGGCTGTCCTCTCACGCCTGCCTCAGCTCATGTCACACAGGCACAGGGCACAGCCAGCACTGCAGACATGCCTGCTCACAGGGTGCATTTCTGATGCTTGTCAAGCTTCAGCCATCGCCTTCTGCTGGTTCATGAAGTCTGTGTTTCTTTAGTGGATGGAATCTCTGATTGCTGTCCTGCTTTGCACAGAACATTACACTGAGATCACAGAGCAGATGGAGGCAACAACGGCATTGGCTTGGCTAACCAAATCTCAGCTCCACTCAGGTTTGTTCCCTCCTGGGGGCAGGAGCTGCACAGCAGAGCTCCTGCTCTCCAGGGCACTGCAGTGGACAGGCAGCAGCTTCCTACTGCCTGCTGACAGGAGCAGTGTCTGCAAGCTGGGACAGGGGGCAGAGAGCACAGAACCCCACAAACTGCCACAAGTCCCATCCCTGAAACATCACTGTGAAGGAGGCCAGTGACATGAGAGGTCCACAAAACCAAAAGAATTATGCTTTCTAGAGGGGAAAATGAAACTACTTAGAAATCAAGCGCAACTAAAATTAAATGTAATTTAATTAAAATTAATTTAAATTGTTCCTCAGCTCCCTCTGCCACATTCAGAGAATTTCCCTGATGCCTGCAAACACCAAGCTGTGCAGCTGCTGTAACAAACCACACACCAGCTGATTGATCACTCCCCAGCATGTGCCTGGGGACAGTCTCACCTCCCAAGGCAGGAAATTCTGCTTGGGCAGCACTTACATGGTGTCACAAGCAATATCAAAAATGCATAACCTGTCACCTGAAGGAAAGTAGTGTTCCCATCCTTCCTGTGTAGAGATGTGAGATCTTCTCTCAAGAAACTAAATAGTTCCACTACTATGACAAAGGGTTGCATTAGACAAAAGCCATCAGGCAGGTTTTGGCATAAAAGGGGAATTTGGGTCATATTTTCCAGTAAAGCCAAGCTGAGGTTGTGCCCTGCTGCCCTTTGCTGAGCCACTACCTGAAGGCTGCATCTTTGGGGAGCTGCAGCACCTGCAGCTTCCCACCTGGGGAGTGCCCATCCAGCACTGGCAGGTCACAGGCAGTCTGAGCTCCCAGGGGCCTGCACTGTGCCTGCCTGGGATAAAAACCTCTGCTGCTCTCTTTTGATTTAATCCTTCTGCAGCTGAGCACATCAAACTCAGCACACAAAGCTTTGGTGCCCCTGCCTTTCCCGTGCACCTGACTTTCCCAGTGACCAACTGGATGTTTTGGTCTATTCATAAAAAGGTGTTTGTTGTAAGAGCACATGGTGTACCCACCCAGACCACAGCAACTCCACTTCTGTTTCCTTGTCCCTGTCTCCCGAAATCCTCCCATTTATTATTTTTTTATATATCTATGCAGGTGTTCCTTCATAGATACAAGGCACAAAGAAATGCTATTTTATTTTGACAGCCACTGGAGTACTACATGCCCCAGCTTCTGTGTCTGGCAGTACTGACAGCTGGATGAATAACTTTTTATTGAGAAAGTTCATCACACACTCGGCTAGGTGTGATGTAAGGAGGAGAATGCAATAGCAGAGGCAGGACAGGGCCATCTCCTGAGCTGGCAGGAGCTGTGGCTGCAGAGCAGCAGCCCTGGCTGGCTCAAGGATAGCATGAAACATTGCTGGAAAGTGATGGTGATGGCAAACCTTGGCTGGGGACAGCCCTGAGCAGAGACATTGCCTAGCTCCTCTGGCCAAGGGAGAAGGAAGAGGTGAGGAAGGGTTCCAGTGTTACCAGAGAAAGACTCCTGCTTTCCTCTCTGTTTAGGAATCATTGTGGTTTTAAATAGCATTTGTGTGTGAGCACAAACTGCAGGGAATGCCCACAGCCTGTGCTGCAGGAACCCTCTGAGCACAGCTCTCCTTTCGTGCACGTGGGCCTGCAAGTCTGTTTGACTAAAAAGAACATTACCCCAAATGATAAATAAAGGCCTGAACAGGTATTCTTGCAGAAGACAATGAATAAATTCAGCTTCATGGAAAACCCTCCAGTGAGTTTCTGATCAATACAACTCCTGAAAGCTCAGCAGTGATGCTGCAGCTAACACAGCTGCTTCACCAGCAGAGCCTGCTGACTGCACGTGTCCTTCCCAAAATCAGTCAGTGGAGAGTTTGCAGCCAAAGCTTTGATAAATGTCACTCTAAACTGCAAGTATAATATGCTTCAAATACACTTTTATGGTTCTTTCTCCTTATTGCAAAATTTTGAATTTTCCAAAGGCTGTAAGTCTTTCAGCAATATAGGATGGCATTAATAGTGTTCAAACTGGCTCCAGCTTAAACCAGCTCAGTTTTTCCTGAACTGTACTGAGGTGAGTTGTACTTTAGCACCTGTTTCAAGCCCTTTTCTTTTGCTAATGATGCACAGGTAGGGTACACTGGAATTTTGTATTTTCACAGGCTGCTTTGAATCCATAACGTATCTAATTCTAGATCCTCGGGGGAATATAGCACATCCCAAATAGATATTTGAGAACCAATTTCACCAAGTCCACTAGACTATTTAGGGCCCAGATGAAACCACGTTGTTTATTTCTTTCCACAGGCGAGGGAATTACTATGCAGAGGTATCTACAAAAAAATTCAGTTTTGGTCCAGGGGTGAGTGGCACTCCACATGAATGCCACAGCTCCCCAGGAGCAGCTGCTGGCACCACTCACTCTGGGCTGTTTCTAAGGCAGGGGGATGGGCTCTGAGTGGACAGGATCTCACTCTTAGACACACTGATGGGACTGTGGGCCATTAGCTTCACTGAATTTTGGATCAGGCTCAACAACCAAACACAGCAGAGGCCATCCAGCCAGCGGCTAAAATGCAGGCACAGGGGTCTTTCACCAGCTCCTTCACCACCAGCACGAGCAGGAGCTCAGATTTCTCATGCAAACTCCAGTGTTCAGAAAAAAACACCCACACAAACAACCAAAACCAACCAAACCCAAGCAACACTAACCAAAGGGCTGCATCTTCTTTTTTCTTTACATTCAGCTGTAGCTCAGCCCTCAGCGCAATAATTCTGTCACTTTCCCTCTGCAGAACCAAGTCATTCCAGGTGTGCCATGCTGTGTCATCTCCCACATCATCTCCCCACGAGCCATTTTCCCCAGGAAAGCCATTCCCAGCCAGCTCCAGGTCCTCGTGCTGCCCTGGCAACACTGTGAGCACATGGCACGTGCCAGCGCTGCCCCCGGCCCCCACAGCTGCTTGTTTGGGGATGTGAGTGTGATCTCAGTGACCAGCATGGAGACCTTTTCCCCAGAAATAGGTTTTGATTAAAACTTACCTGTAGAAACACCATAAAAGTGGGCCTACACCTTAGGCAAAGCTTCCTTCTTGTTTTGCTGCCATCTCTCTTTTGAGTTTCACATTTGACAGTGCAACTTTATCCCCCCTCTGCTAAAATTATGCATTTGCTTTAATTTGTGTAATCAATCCTGCATTTCAATTCCATGACTGTCATTAATCCATTCCCTTCTAAACCATGTTCTTCCCAATACCGGCTACACCACGCTCCATATTACAGCATAGAAACCAGGGCCAATTTTGCCTGAAATAGTATTTTCAGAGTCATTCTCCTCACTCAATGTTCTACACAATCCTCAGGTTACATATATAGGCTAAAAATCTGTGTAAAATTTGTATGGGTGAAGATAAACATGACAGGGAAAAATTGGTAGCCTCTGCAAAGGCCCTGCCAGTCAACAGCCACACAAAAGAGCTTGACCCCAGGCAGCACCACCAGTACCCTAATCATATTCAGCAAATTGTTATTGTAGTCTTTGGGTCCTGTTTATTCTTCAGTGTGGACCAGCTGAGTTAACTCAGCAAGCAGGACCTGCAAAGCTGTCCCAAGCTGGGTACATCATCAACAACACCAAATAGCACAAAGAAATCACTGGAGAAAACTGCTCTGAACCAAAAGGAAGAACATTAGAAATTGAGGGAGGTAAAAAACCAAAAACCGATTCACACAACAAAATAAAGAGAAATTTGAAAACTACTGAGTTTATTGTAAAAAATTACAGTGGCAGCTGGGAAGGTACCCAGCTCTTACATTGGTCTGGTTACCAAATTAACTGTGGTAGCTAATTAATTGCCCCATCCTTCTCAGGAACAAGAAGGCAAAGTGAAGGATGGGACTGAGAGACATTTTCCACCTCAGCTGAGGAGCAGGCAGCAAGCAGCACTCCCTCCTGATGGCACAGAGAGAGGCTCCCTCAGCTGTGCCAGATTTCAGGGCTGGAAGCAGGGAGCACACTGGCTGGGTGCAGCCCCTAAAGAGCTACCCATGTGATGTAGAAATTGTACTGTCATATTTGGAAGTATCATTTCAAATCCTCATTTGCATCATGAATCCCTGTACATTATATTTGTGCATGTGTATGAACAAGTCACTGTGTGTGACTGTGTGTGCATATACATGGCAAGAAAAACTTCATATACATATACATGTATATGTGTGTGCATATACATGCAAGAAAATCTTCACTTTCTTGCAATGACTACTTCTCACTATAGAAATAATAATACTTCAAATATTTTTAAATACTAACCTCATCCACTGCTGCCTTTTTAACTTTTTTTTTCCCTTTTCACAGAATGAAAAACCAAAATATCTTGCACTTTATATTTGCACAATACCTTGTTGGGTGCAATCCCCTTAAGCCACAGCTGGAGGCAGGCAGCCAGCCCAGCTGTGTGATCCATCACAAAGTGCTGCAGCACATCTGCCCTGGCCTGGGTCACAGAACCAACACCAGTGGTGACAAGAAACCCCCCCAGTGACCAGCAGGGAGCTGGTAGCAGCCCCAAAAGTACAGCTGCTGCCTATGGCTGCAGCCAAAACCCTTCAGAGGTGCCCTCAGTGTTGGGACTACTGTCTGGTGTGGTGACATGTCAGCCCAGGAGCAGCAGAGCTCCTTTCTAGAGACAGAGCTAAACCAAAACGTGCCTGCTGGTCATAATCCTTGCTCTTCCACACATTCCTAAACCATGCTTTGCTTTACAATGCTTCATTTAAAACACAGATTGTGCTGAGAACATGGGAGAAGGGCTGAGAAGAGTCACACTGGTGTGTGTGAGCAGGATGGAGGTGCTCAGCCCTGACACCTTGTGCACAGCTGGGTGTGTGTGAGCTCCTCCAGCACAGCACCAGCACTGCTCTCTTGTGCTTTCCTTGTCTTTCCAGGTTTCTGCTGCTGTGGAGCGCAGTGCTTATCATGTACCCAACTAGCCTGGCTGTCATTGCACTGACCTTCTCAAACTATGTCCTGCAGCCTGTCTTCCCTAACTGTATTCCCCCTTACAATGCCTCCAGGATCCTCTCCATGGTGTGTTTACGTAAGTATTTGCTTCTTGCACACACACACAAATCTTGCCCTGCTTTTGCAAGGGACCATTGGGGGGGCTACTGCAGCCAGGCTGGGTCAGGGGCCCAGCTCCAAAGGGCAGTGGGGAGCTCCCAGGAGAGACACCATGACTGGGACATTCTGTCCCTTTCCACGTGCCTGCAGCAAGTGCAGTGCCTGGAGGGAGGCACAAAGGCACCCAAACCCCTGTGGGTCCAGGGAAAGTGGTGCCAGGTGAGCCTGTGGGATGGGGCAGTGCTGCACAACCATGGGCACCTGGCACAGGTGACCACCACCCTTTGAGCCCTTCCCATCTTCTCTCACAATCACACAGGTGAGTGTGCAGCAGGCAGCGTGCAGCCAGCTCTGCATCAGCCACTGCTGGAGCTGGCAGAAGCTGCAGGGCAGGAGACTTTCAGTGTTCCTGTGAGGAGGCAATGATCCTGGCACACTGGGCACTGCTCAGGCACAGTTACTAAGCTGGGGAGAGCCCCTCTGGCAGCACCAGAGAGCCCCTCTGGCAGCTGATGGCTGCCAGGGTGCCCTGCAGCTTGGGAAAGGCAATGCTCCTCCTCATCCTCGTTACTGGCACACTAGAGCTCCCTGCAGGAGCATGAGTGTGTTTGTCACTATTTTGACAGTATGTTCTTAAATAAACATAATTTCATCTCACTGAATCCAGTCTTTTGCTCTGCAGTCCTCCTGACGTGGGTGAACAGCTCCAGCGTGCGGTGGGCGACGCGCATCCAGGATATATTTACAGCAGGAAAACTCTTAGCCCTGACCCTAATCATTATTGTGGGCTTCATACAGATCTTTAAAGGTACTCTGTGAGACAGCTCTAACATTGGTATGGTCCTGTTGATAGACTTGATTTTTTCCACTTACTGCAATGTTTCCTCCTTACAAAGTGACCTGAAGGTGTGCTGGGCTTTGCCAAGCTGTGGGATTGCACACTGACACAGCTGGGGAAGTATGACACAAGGGAGAAATCAGCTGTATCCCCTTAAAAAAGTCCCTTTCCAGCCCACCTTGTAGGTTTTGACAGAATAAAGGAGAGCAGCTCACAATGTTTTGGAAGAGTTGCTTAACATTTTTAATCTGTTGTGCATTCCTTGAATTTGAAGTGCTCTGGATGTAAAATGAATAAGCAATGCTTTGCCTAGGGCAGGAAGATATCTGCTTCATTTCAGGCACTAGTCCAATTTTCTTCAAAAAGTCACTTATAAGATTAAACATAGGTGAAAAACATCTCACTGATTCACCAGTCATTGGAAAGCCAAAAGTACAAAAGACTTATAATATTTTTTACAGAAGACTTATAATATTTTTATCATGTATATCATGAGTCACATAAAGGACAAAGGAATGTGACATTTACAGAGAGCACTTGTTTTCCTAGTGGTGCTAGTCCTGCAGTCTTGACAAATCTTTCAGGCCCATAGACATTTTATTTTCAAGGATATCTACTAAACAACACCAAACTCTTGTAAAAGAGAACGGTGTTAAGGGCAGGTAGGAATTTGCACTGCCAAGGATCCACCCTCAGCCAGTGCAGGTTGCCAAAGGGTCTCATGAGTTGCTGTGGCACAGATGTGGTGGAGGTGCCAGGAGAGCCTGAGCTGCCTGACCAGGACACTGTCCTGCAGAAAGCACTGCAACTGCTGTGTCAGCCCATGGTGGCATGAACAGCATGAAGTCTCAGTTCTAATAAAGAGTAAAAAGCAAACTCTTACCTGTTTTAAAGTCTGCGAGGTAGGAAGGCGTGGCCTAACATCTGGCTTGCACTCTCTATGCAGGAAACTACAAAGAGCTGACACCAAGCAATGCATTCAGATTTTGGATGACTCCATCTGTGGGACATTTAGCATTAGCTTTTCTTCAAGGGTCCTTTGCATTCAGTGGCTGGAACTTCTTGAACTATGTCACAGAGGAGCTGGTTGATCCCCGCAGGCAAGTATCCACTTCTTGATGCTCTCCCTGGAGTGCTGAGACTTTGGAGCTGTCTGGTAGCATTGCTCATTTCATAAGAGGCTGCAATGGCATTCCATGTCTGTGGGACTGGTCTTCCTAAAGGAGAGTGAGTTTTGTTCAGAACAGATAGCAGGCACATTACAGAAACACTGGAATGAGGTATGAACTGAATGAAAGCAGCCCACAGACAAGGCAGTATCTTTATGTCACTATTCAATCGTATTCAACCTTCCACAGCAGAAAATTAACCATGGATGAGGTGCCACACAAGTATCTGCAGCAAGAATCTTCTTTGTCTTAAAAAAGTTGAATTATCCTGGAAGTTGCTTTGCTTTTTCACCCAAAGCTTCCCACAGACACCCGAAAGGGATGATTAGCTGTGCAGTGATAGTGGCACTCTGTGCCCCTCCTGCCAAGGCAGCTACCCTGGGTCACTGCTGATCCTGGCTGTGGGAAGGGCTTGCAAAGGATTTATCACAAGCAGGCCGAGAAGGCTGGAGGGAAAGGGAATTTTAGTTCAGCAAAGCTCAAATGTTTCAACATTTCTGAGTTAATAAAGTGGAATGGCAAATGTCAGGAGCAGCTCTTGGAGCATTAGTTACTTCTGGGCATCCAGTGCACACAGCAATTAAACAAGAAGAAATGTAAGCTGTTACAGCTTGGATGGGAAGGAATTAAAGCTGCAGCCTTATGAGCATCTCTGCACACCAGTGAGTGGCAAAATGTGTGTCCAGGGATTTGGCAGGAATAAAGAAAGTGTGGTAATTATTAAACAACAATATTTTAATGGGCCACCATGATTTCAAAGCTGAATAATAAAAAAGTTATTATTTAAATAAGGTAAATATGGCCTTAGTTGAGAAATAAAGAGAGAATGGAGCAAATGGCCTTTTTTAAAAAAAATTATTGTTGCAGCCTTAGTGGAGATATTAAAGTATTAAAAATAATTGGACAAACAAAACCACTTCCTACTTTTACTAAATCTATTCAAATTCACGAGGTTAAACATGCTTTCTAAAGACTTTATTCCCAAATCTGACACAGAGAGAAAAATGCATTCTGTTAGATACAGAACAGCTCAGGTGTGTCCCTCTAGGAAGGTCTCTGGGCTGGAGATCAAGTGCGTCTGTGCTGCTGTAAGCTGGATGACCTGACCAGGTTTAGGGTACACAATGGGCCAGGGCAGCAGCTGAACAGCAGGATCCCTTCCTTTTCAGAGCAGGTGAAGGTAAAGCAAAGCAAGACATCTTGTTCCACCGGGGTGCCTGTCCCCAGGGCTTTTGGGTGTTCCATTTTTCAGTTCCACTCTGTCCCAGTCCCAGTCAAGAGCCCCAAGGGAGATCCTGGTCTCTGTCCCCTGGAGCTCCCTGCAGACACAGCATTCCATTGTAGCCTTCCCTGAGCTGCAGTGGCTCAGAGAGCTGGGGGAAGCTCTACTTCCCTTGGAAAACAGCAAGGAACCCACCCAGCTGCGTGCCGCCCCGGGCCCCACACAGTCGTCGTGGTCTCGCTGTGCATGACTGTAATTTCTTATCTACCCTCCTAATTCTTTTATTAGGAACCTGCCTCGTGCCATATTCATATCCATCCCATTGGTGACATTTGTGTACACGTTCACCAACATTGCATATTTCACTGCCATGTCTCCCCAAGAGCTCTTGTCCTCCAACGCTGTGGCGGTAGTAAGTAAAACCATTCCCTGGATGTGTCAAACACACTTTGATTTCAGTGCTCTGCTTTGCAGTGTGTTTCAGTTTCTCTGCCTTCTGTTGCTTTAGACATTTGGTGAAAAGTTACTGGGCTATTTTTCCTGGGTTATGCCAGTCTCAGTGGCCCTATCTACATTTGGAGGAATAAATGGATACCTTTTTACCTCATCAAGGTTAGATGGAGTACAATTTTATGAACATTATCTAATTTGGGGAGGGGCTGTTTTAATTGCATTTGCTAGAGAAATGCTAGCTAGACATTTTGGATGTTGTAGAAGATGAGTTTGTTGTTGGGTGTGTTGGATACAATCAGTTATGAATTATTCTGTTTCAAATCAGCAAATGTAATATTGAATCATGAAATTTCTTGCAAATTAACCCTCATGAGTTATTGAAAGTGTTTGCAGATGTGGAATAATTCACAGTAAGAGCCAAACACAGCTTTAGCATGGAACCAAAGTAATTTTATGTCAATAAAGTTCCAGTAGCTCACAGCTAAACTGTGCTTTGCTCAAGGAGGAGTTTTAGGGCCTGGTGCTGTACTCAGTTACAGGCATTTTAATGCTGGAAAATCACCTTTCAGGCAAGAGATGCTTTGCATGCATACTGCTGATATTTGGGCCAGAATCTGTAAAGTGTGTAAGATTGTAATCAATAAAGTCTCTTTATAATAACTGACCTGTCTTAATTTAATTTAGAAGTTACAAAGTTTTTTGAGAAAACAGCTGAAGTACCTTGGGAAAACTATTTATCCCAACCCTTTCATGGGTATGATGAAATGCAACAAATTGGAGTGCATATGTAACAGGCTATACACTAAAAAGTGAAAAACTAAGGCATGTTAAACCTTATCCAAACCCCTCTTGGCTCTGTAAATACCCACACAACCTTCAGAGCATTCACCCCTCACTGGGTAAAGAGACAGCCCCGGCCAGCAGATAATCCTTGGAGGTATTTTGGCATCTCAGCAGGTCTGTTCCCAGGTGACATTAGCTGTTAAAGGCCTTGTGCCCTGCAGGGTTTAGTTTAAATACCTTTCCCCAGGGGACACAGCTGCTGTCTCTGCAGCCCAGCTCTTTCCATGAGAAGACCAGAGCAGGTGGTTGAGATAAGAGGTGCTGTGTGACTAGGGACTGGAGAGGCTGTCGCACACCCAGTGATTCATCGTTACCCTTCTTATTTCCAGGCTGTGTTTCTCTGGTGCTCGGGAAGGCCACTTGCCAAGTTTGCTGGCCATGATCCACGTCAAGAACTGCACACCCATCCCTGCCCTTCTCCTCTGTGTAAGTTACTATCCCTGCTCTGTCACCATGCAGCCTGCTCTTAGAAACACCAAACCCGTGAGAGGTGAGCTGGAAAACCCCTTGAGAGGTGGCTTTACCCCCGAATCTGTGGGTCACCCTGAATGGCAGCTGGTAGGTGACAGCTGAGCAGCTCCATCTGCCCCAGAGCCTTCAGCCTCAGAAATAACTCCTCCTCCTCCCAGTCCCCTCGGCACCTGAAGGGTTTCCCTCATAACCTGAGTTGCAGTGTAAGCTCATTAATTCTTGTCCTGCAGCAAGAGACAGGGACTGGCTTTTGAAACAGAGATAATTCATTTAAGAAAAGACAAGTTCCTTAGTTCCACATGCCTCCCACCAGCATGTGGAAACCCCCGTGGTCACTGATCCCACTCCAGCAAGGCAGCTTTAGGTCCTGCCACCAAAGCCAGAGATATGGGGGGTCCCAGGAAAAGGACAAAGCGCTCCAAAAATTATTTTCAACAACCAAGACACCTTGTGAGGGGTAACCAGGCACTGGGGGCCACAGGTATTTCTTTCCACAGGCCAAAAAATGAAGTAGGGACAATGATTACAGTAGGGAATCTGCTGAATGGCACACCAGGCAGACAAGAGGTCACCTGCAAAGCCCAGACACCAAGGGACCAGCTGTGAGGAGTGCTGGGGGTCCAGTTCCTGCTGTGCTCCCATGGGAAAAAAGATTCCTCTCACTTTTTTAGACAGTGGAAATTTCCACAAAACTGATGACTTACGGAAGTTATTCTTTGAAACAAAGAGCTTTGTTTGCTTTTATTGATAGTGCAGCTGGAATTTCTGAAGGTTTTATAGTGGCATAGAAGACGCTAAAGAGGAAAATGATTAGTGCTGCTGCTGTCCATGGCCACAGGGCCCAAGCAAAGGAATTTCCCAAAGGGCATTTGCTTGAAATCTTGGCTGCATCCACGGCTGCCAACAGCAGCTTTGCCACTGATATCAAAACCACGAGGGTTTGACCCCAGATGCACTAGAAAGATGCATGTTTACATGTCTCCTGGCTCTAACAGCAATACTGGCACAATACAGACATACAAAATTTCACCAAATAAGCTTTTTTCCCACCATAAAAGCTCATTCTGCCTTTATGACAAAATATGCATTTTGTTGAGTTTTATGGCATTCCTGGGGCTGAGTGCCCCATCACAAACATCTTGTGTATTGCCCCTTGAAGGTTTGGGGTCAACTGCCCTGGGCAGCCATCATGGGATGGGATCCTGTGTTCTACAGGGGCAGAACTCCTTTGTCCTTAAAAATACATCAGCTGAAACAACAGCTGAGTGTCAGGGGCTGTTTCTCTGTGGAGCAGCCCCAACAAGACCAGGCTGCCTGTGGAGCTGGCTGATCCATGCCATGCCACCCCCCTTGAACCACAGTGCAAATCACAGAACCAGCAGGGCACATTAATTCATCATTTGAAGGTGTTTTAATGCAGCTCAGTGCACATCAAATGCTGCTAGGAAATAGTTATTTCTTAACAAATAGAAAGATACAAATAGTGTAGTGTAAGCAGCTACAACAGCAAACAGGGCCACAATTTAGGCAAACCTAATTAATACATCAGGTTCCTTGTCTCTTCCATGGAATCGTATCTAGCTCTCTGCATGGAGAGCAGGTTTTTTGTACATCAAGAATGGCTATTTCAACACTACCAGTGAGACCTTTATTTTTACTGATTTACTATTTTACTCCCAAAAACCCAGGGGCCAAGCTAAATGTAAACATTTGGACTGCAGTTTTTTTGCAGGATGGTGGGGAGCGATTCAGTGGAAGATTCAGCTAAGTGTGATTCAATTCAACAATTCAACGTGTGTGTACACGTGTGACACGGTGACACGCTGCAGGGGAGAGCAGAGACCGTGTTATGTGACAGTCAGATCCGAGGTGGTGCCCAATTTTAAATCCATTTTGTGGCCAGACAGTTCAAGGTGTTGAAATCCCCCTGCCAAGCCTGCAAGGCTTTGAACAGGGGAACAGAGGGACCAACAGGGTGTGTGGCTGTGGTGGTGCTCAGTTCCTTTGCTGGAGGCGCAGAACCCTTCCCTCCTGGGAGGAATTTACTATCGAAACAGCTAATTAAGAAAAGAGGGACAGAAGCACAAAGGGAGCCTGGATTAACACAAACCAAACCTTGAGCATTCTCTGGAAGGATTTGGATATTTAGTTTCCCTCAGGCACTGGGCCCCAGTGTTCACGGGGCTGGTATTTTGTGCAGGTGAGTGCTCAGCCCCTGTGGTAGCCAAGAGTGGGTGGGGGGCTCGAGGAGCAGTGCCCTGGCCCCCAAGTCAGCTCTCCTGGCTTTGCACTATCGGTGCCTTTTTGCTGGTCCCAAAATCACAAGCTAGACACAGGTGCTAAAAAGGAGTTACCTTTACAAGGATCCTCAGGAGCACAGCTCGCTCGGCGGAAAGCGACAAAGATGCACACGTAACATCAAGTGCGTACCATTTCTATATGTTTAGCAAATTAGAAACCCCAATTAGAGCATAAATGATGAGGCAATCCCCCCTCAGTTAAATCCTTTCTGAATCCCCCCCTCAGTTAGATAGGACCTAAACTTTGTTAATGAAAATGTGTCTCGGAGAGTTGGTTTTAACCTTGGCTTCCCAGAAAATCTAAACTTGGACCCCCAGCTTGGAGCCACTGGGGAATTTATTTTGCCTTTCTGTCTAATAGAGTAGGTAAAAAGCTAGCTATGAATACTATAATAGGCAACAGCACTACAAATGTATGTGTACAGAATATAGAGAGAATATAAAAGCAAAAAAGGTGAAAATCAATTCCCTATCAGCATTGGGCAGACATAGAATTCAAAAAAGCAAGCAAAAGCATGGAAATGTCCACCATCCATCTGCCAGTTTCCAAACATTAGTAATGCTCATAAGATTGATGATGCTGGTCAGCTGTGCCATGAGCCAGCAAGAGAAAGGGCAAACCTCTAATTCTTTATAATATAGAGAGCACCTGCAACAACACCGTGCCTGAAACACAACATGTAAAGTCTAAGAAACCTTTTCACCTGGAGTCCTCACCACAAGGTTCAACAGCTTTTAAAACACTTCACAGAAAAGGTGGAGAGGAAGGTTTGCCAGCCTTCCCAGCCCTGCCTGCCTACTCATGGGCAGCAGAGACACCTGTGCCAGCACCCCAGGGTATTTTTAAACAGACCCTCTTAGCCTCTGGCTTCAGCATGCCCCAAATCACCCCAAATACCCATTTAGCCCCAGCCCTGGTGGCACAGCCCTGGGATAAGGAACAGAGCCCCAGAAAGCAGCACACACTCAGCAGGTGCCACAAACAAAGGGATTTTTAATGCTTTAATGGGATTTTTGCTTGGTTTTGTTGTTTTTAAGCTACCTTTTCCAGTAATGGCTGAAGAAGGCTGTGCTCCTCTCTTTGCAGTGTCTGGCCACACTCATCATCATGCTGGTTGGAGACACATACACGCTAATCAACTACGTGTCATTCATTAACTACCTCTGCTATGGAGTGACCATCATAGGCCTGATTGTTTTACGATGGAAGAAACCCAAAATCTTCAGACCTATCAAGGTGACACTGTTACAGCTACATTTCTTGGTTGTAATAGTCATGCAAAGGGTGGGATGGGGACACCTCCCAGACCATGTCCCAGGCAGGTCTCTTGTGAACTTGTTGGGATGGGCAGAAAGAACAGTGGTGGAGGGAGGGGGACACAGCCTGGGGGGGCCTGGAGCCTGCCCTGCCTGCAGCCCCCCAAAACACAGCCACTGCTGCTGCTCTGCACAGTCCTGCTCTGCTCTCTCCTGGTAGGTGAACCTCCTCATCCCCATCACCTACCTGGCGTTCTGGGCATTTCTGCTGGTCTTCAGCTTGTACTCCGAGCCCATCGTCTGTGGGGTTGGACTCATTATCATTTTAACTGGAGTGCCAGTGTTTTTCCTTGGAGTCTACTGGAGAAATAAACCAAAGTGTGTAAATAGGCTAATAGGTAAGCCAGCACTATCTGCCTCCCTGCCCTCCCTGCTTAAATTCTGCCATGCTGGCACCAAAACAGCCAGGAAACTGCCCTTAGGATGCTGGCCACCACTCAGCCATGGGCAGCCCCTGGGCACAGAGTGGCCAGGCACTGCTTTGCTTTGGGCAGCATTTTGCATGCTCTGGGTACATTTACCTCCTCTCATGCCCATGCACTTGTCTTGCTCACAGCAAATACACGGGGTGTCACTTTATACACACAGGGACTAAATGAGCAGTCACCAAGGGACTCAGGAGTTTGTGTGACCTTTGCCCTGCCTTCTTCCACTGTGCCACCAGCACTGTGCACCAAGCCCTGTGTGACACGATGAACTATCTCAAACGTTTCTTACAAAGACTTACATTACCCCTCATATAAAATTGAAACTGCAAATAGTCTTCTGTGTTTTGGCTGTGCTTGGTTTTTAATCACTTTGCTCCAAGGTGAGGACTTTCAAACAGGACACTGCAGCCCTCTGCTCTCACTGGAGGGCTTCTCTCAGCTGCACTTGGCTCCACTGCCAGCAGCTCCCCATGGCCAGTGGTCACTGCAGCTGGGCTGGCACAGTGCCAGGAGGGCAGCCATGCCATGCCATGCCATGCCATGCCATGCCATCACCCCATCCCACGGATCCCATCCCATCAGCCTGCCAAGGGCAGCACTGGCAGTCCTGTGAAGGGCTGGGGAAAGGTGACCCTAAAGCTGTGCCACCTTCATTTGCCCAGCTTCAGGAACACTTTGCTGACTGAGCTGGAGGGAGAAGGGTTGGAGGGGGCACTCAGGGGGCAGCAGGGCTGCGCAGCTCCTTCCCACATGGCTCCAGCATCACATTTTTGTTTAGAAGACCCCATTAAGCACCCACTAACCCTGGTGATTTGCTCCCTGCAGAGTCCCTGACGTGCTGGGGGCAGAAGCTGTGTTTTGTGGTGTACCCTCAGTGTGGAAGCGCAGAGGAGGAGGCCTCCTCAGCCCACTCCTGGCGGCTGGTGAGCGAGACAGCAGTGAGGAAATCACAGCAACGTGGCCTGTGAGGCTGAAGTGGCTTCTTGTTTACATGCTGATTTTTGAAAAAAAAAAGTTTTTCTGGAAAAAAAAAAAATTGTTTTAGAGCACCAATAGTGAAGCCCATAAAATGAGCTACATCCTTTATGGCCTCTGTAGCTTTTAGTTATTCCCTAAGGAAAAAAAAAAAAAAAAAAAAAAAAAAAAAAAAAAAAAAAAAAAAAAAAAAAAAAAAAAAAAGACAGAAAAAAAAGAAAATAAATAAAATGTAAAATAAGGAGCTGGTTGGGTTTTTTTTTCTGGCAGCGTTCTTGCTCAGCAGGGGAAAGCAGCACAGACACAGCTCTGGAATACTGATTTTAGTCACCATGAGGGTCCACCACAGACACACAAATTTAGGCATTTTAAATGGGCAGTTAGGGCAGTTCCCAACACAAAATCAAAGTACAGAAATCAAGAGAAAGCAGGGAGACCTCCTGCTGTCCCTGGGAGGGGTGAATGCCCATGAAGGTACAACCCAAAGGATCAGCCCTCCACACAGCTGGAGCACATCCCCAGCCCAGCTCCAAACAGCCAGGGCTGCGCTGAGCACGGACCAGAGGAAAAGCCACAGCACCAACAACCACCTGCAGCACTCCAGCAGCATTCTGTGACACAGCAGAAAGGACACAGAGGCAGTGATCTAAATCTCAGGTATCTCAGATTTGCGGTGATCTAAATCTCAAGAAGCTCAGTTTTGCAGAGATCTAAATCTCAAGTATCTCAGCTTTGTACTGATCTAAATATTATCTCAGTATTGCAGTGATCTAAATCTCAAGTGTCTCACCTTTGCAGTGATCTAAGTCTCAAGTGTCTCAACTTTGCAGAGAGCTAAATCTCAAGTATCTCAGCACTGCAGTGATCTAAGTCTCAAGTGTCTCAACTTTGCAGAGAGTTAAATCTCAAGTGTCTCAGCTTTGCAGAGAGCTAAATCTCAAGTGTCTCAGCACTGCAGTGATCTAAATCCCAAGTGTCTCAGCTTTGCAGTGATGTAACTCTCAAGTGTCTCAGTTTTGAAGCAGTGTTGTAGAGGTGGAGGGGGTTCCTGCAGCACCCAGGAACTCCTGCAGGAAGCTCAGCCTGCTCCAGGTGCCAGCTGGGGAGGATGGAGACGCGGAGAGGTTTGCAGCAGGCTCAGCATGGAGCTCAAGGGAAACCCACCCAGGAGAGGACCCTGCTGCTCCTCCTGTCTCTGGACCTTGCTCCAGAGACCAATTCCCCTTTTCAGCTGGGCTCAACCAAGTAACCAGCCTAAATCACTCACACATCAGATGCTCCTTAGAAAGTGTTTTGCATATTTTATTTGTGCCATACACTAGGGAAAAAAATCTCATCCATGCACCTAATTAATATATAGAGATTTGCTGCTGTAGCAGTATGGCCACTTTCACACCAGGGAACCTTCTAAAAATGCAAAATGTGAGAACAGCTCTGAGCTACTATTCTTTCACACTATTTGAAAACAAAACCTATCACATTCAGTAGCCTTGGTAACAGCCATCTGAATGTAATTTTAAAAGTATCTTTCCACGGCCCTGGCACAAAAATTACAGATTCGTTATCTTAGTTAATTATTCAGAATGACTTTGGTAAAATAATAATAATAGTAATAATAGTAGTAGTAGTAATAATAATAATAATAATAATGTCTATAGATTAAAATTTTATTCATCCCCATCTTCCAGATGGTAGACACTAAAAAGAAACACAGCTTACATTCTTCTCTTTGTATAAAGCTGTTAATTATGAGAGATTAAAATACATATTTAGCTAGAAAAAAGGTGTGGTTTTGTGTGTATATATGCACACATGTAAAGAAAGATTCCACATTTTAAATAATAGTATGAATATATTGCTTGTTAATGGGTATCATAAATATTCAGATTAATTCTTTCAATACCTTTACTAGCTAGTGGGAAAACGAAATGTATTACAGCATCAGAAATACTGATTGCTTTCAGAACTGCTAAGTTTTGGCATGAGTTTATTTTTGTTTGTTGAAACAATTAAGGTAAGGAAATCAGCCAGCAAGGAAACTTTGCAGCTCTCGAGACAAATCTGTATGGTAATGAGAAAAGTAATAATAATAGTAATAGTATAATGCTGCAACAGCTACCAAGGCTTTTCTTGGCTGTTATATAAGGAAATCAAAAGCAGAATTAAAGAACAAATTCATCATAATTGTTAGCTGAGTTTGGCTCAGGTCTTCCCTGGTTATAATGACATGCTTTAAAAGTAACAACATTTGGCCTTAAATCAGAAGGCTTAATTTAGAACAGGATGATTTAATAGACCTCATCTTTGAATTACATGCCAATCCCCAAAAAGTGTTCCATGATGTTTCATTTTCAGGAACAGCTTCATCTCTGCTCCCAGCATCACATACATTAAAGGCTTTGCAAAGGTTAGTGCCTAATGTGCAGAATTTCTAACCATAGAAATCAATGTACAAAATTAGAAATAGAAATTCATATGCTAAATGAAATTTAGCAGCACATTCAATCCATATAAGAGAGATTTTTCCTAAAGACAAAGCAACTAGCCCCAAAGGAGACATAATTACCAGTATTTTAAAGCCCACTGAACAAAAAGCCTTGAAACAGCTGACACTATCAGCATGTTGAGAGTACTGTGATACTTGATATAGAAAGGCAAGCTGCTTCCAACAGAAAGGAGTTTAAATAAAGCTTGAATAGCAAAGCAATACTATGTAAGCCTATACATTTATGTAGCATAAAACACTAGGGGCTGTAATGCAGAAAATACTCTGGGGAGTACCACCTGTAAGTCAGCCTAAGGTAAAGTCAATAAAAATGGATTGGATTATTCTTACCTGATTTACCACAGGATTGAAAAAAGTGGTAATAGATACATCATCACTGTGCTACAAGCTTTGCAAGAGAGAAGGGGAGAAGATAAAATTCCAGGAGCTGAGTGGGCACTCTTGGGAACACAGCGAGAATGAGGCAGAGCTTCTGCTGGCTTGGCCACCCTCAAGCATTTTCAAAAACTTCATACAGGAATGCAATGTCTTCCATTCCTATTAGTACATAAACCAGGAGAGTTTGATCTCAGAAGGGTCAAGGGATGAGACTCACAGAATCACAGAATAGGCTGAGTTGGAAGGGGCCCACAAGGAACGTGGGATCCAGCTCTGAAGGAACAGGCCCACATGGGCATTGGGCTCGGCACCACGCCGTCCCAGCCCAGAGCCTTCCTCCAGCCCAAGGACACGAGTCCCTACGTGTTCAATAACACATCTGACTTGGGAGCACCTTTCCAAAACACGTATCAAAAACATGCAGAGCAGATTTCATCAGCTAGGCTCCACCAGCTCTGAAAGCCCTGAGGCGCTGTCAGCCCAGGACAGGGCTGCTGGCCCAGGGAAGCCACCTTTGCCCGGGGAGTGCCGGGCCGGGCCGGGCCGGGCAGCCCAGGACAGAGCCAGGCCACAGCCCCGCTCCAAACAAGCTCACGCTGGGACAGAAACGTGATGAGAGCTCAGTTAAAATAGTTCACCTTCAAAGGAACCACAACAAATGAACAACCAACAAACCCCCAACAGACGTGCTGTCCCACACTTCATATGCAGAGGCCTTTGTCATGGGATTTCTCACATTTCACTTACTGCTAAACCTTGGGGAAAATAATCATTTGGTTTCCAGCCCCTCTGCACCAAGAAACTGCTCACAGTTATTCCCCTGCTGAAGAGTTCTATGAGAGATATTGAAAGAAAAATGAAGGGTAAACTTTGCTTAGAATTTGTCTTTTCCTAAAGCTTTAGAGTTCAGAGAGTTGTGTCCTCTCTCCACCTCCAGCTGTGACTACAGGCAAACTAAACTCTGTTTTTTAAACCTCCTGTCCTTGCTCCTTGACTTCTCACCAGTGCTCTATCTTCAATGAGAAATTTCTGCCCTTGGAAAATGGAAAAGGAAAACCCAAGGAGAAAGATTAGAAAGTGAGTAAGAAGATGCTGAGAGGCCAAAACCAAATTTGTCTTAAAGGCCTACAGTAAAACAGAGGGATAGAAGGGAGGGAGATCCAGAGGACATCATAAAGCAGGGAACACATGGAATGAAAGGGAATAAAATGTAAACCTCAGCCTCACCTCAGCCTTGGTAAGAACACAAGAGCCAGCATCTGAAGAGGGAAGAACAGCTCACTGAACTGTTTGCTAGAGTGACAGACAAAGGACAGGACAGGAGGTCTGCTGCCTGCAGGGCTCAGGTTCAGACAGCTGTTTGTACCAATTTTAAATCCTGGCACTTACCTGGGAGATTAAAATTCAACTTCCAGCCAAGTCCAAAAGTCTTGAATAAGCAAAAGCAGTTGTTCCTCTCAGAGAAAGGTCTGATTAAAAAGTACCACATTTCCTTCAGGCTTCTCAAGTTTGTCCCTTGGTTTGCTGTAAGACATATCTATTGTACTGCACAGGCTGACAAAACACTCAAGTATCATTTACAACTCTATTTCCATCTCATGGGTTATTCTCATTTCAGCCTCACATCAGGGTATGATGGTAAGGTTTGAAACATTAATGCTTCTGCCACTGCAGCTGAATGAGCATTTCATGGCAAAACAAAACCAAAGCAAAGCCAAGCCAAGCCTTTCTGCTAGGCTAGAAGGTAGAAGCCCTCTGCATCAAGCTGGGTCCTTCCATCCTCCATAATCTGGGATCATCACGAAGTCTGTCCAATTCTCTTCATTACAGATAAAGATTTCCAAGTCTGTGGAACACAGTCAACACAAAATAACTCAGCCTTCTCCTTCTTCTGAAAAAGAGCAGGACAGAGCCAGCAGTAGCTCTATGACATGAGAAGCATCAGCAAAACAAGCACTGGCCTCACAAAAGGGAGAGGCTGTACTTCAGAAATTTTTTTTAACCACCCTAACAGTCATACACTTCAGGGCTTCTTTTTTTTTTTAGTTGGAATATATGCGTACATACAGATCAAAGGCAGCTGTATACAACAGTGAATTTCCTAGAACC